GGATCACGACCTCTTCCAAACCATCGGCGTCGTGGCCCCCGCCCAAGCCCCGCTGGGCCATGGCCGTCGCCCGTCTGGCGGCCATGACGCACGCCCCCATCGACCACGTAGTCGCCGCCCCAAGTGGGGTCACGGTATACCCCACCATCGAGCTCCTCACCATCGCACTCGCGGCAGCCTTTCCCGTCCGCCATGACATGAACATGCCGATGGGCTCCATCCAGCCAAAGGCACGCACCCCATTTGCGGCCATGATCATTCCGCACCGGCGTGGCAAACGGCAGCCGCCAGGCAATGCTTCGGCGCGGGGCCGGGGATTGAGGCGAAGCGAAGCAAACCCTCAAGTCCTGAAAATTTGTGATTGCGTATTTACTTGTAACACCACACACATATATACACATATGTACATACACATGCACACATATATATATATACATACAGATGTGCAAGCCTATAGACCCATACATGCACACATCGACATATCGACACCTACACAAGTGTAGATTGTTACACGGGCGCACCTGCATCTAGTAATATGGACGTGCATATGGCCAGATGATGTCTAGTACGCACAACTGTGTACCCACATGGCTATGGGTCTACATAGATGCATAGACGTATGTTGCATAGACGCATATACGTACAACTATATAGCATTGAGTGGTATATACAGGTGCATGCGTGTGTATATATACACACTGGAGAGCCATAGTTCCGCATGTGTGCAAATTTATACGCACAGGCACATCGACGCATAATTTATACGTGCCGTCATACAGATGCATGCCATCAGTCGAAGCGTATACCTATAACCACAGAGAGAAGCATGCACCAGTTCTGTATATACATAATTACAAACCTATCCATATGCATGAATATGTATGCTCATATATGCGTGGTCAGGTGTATACGTACCTGTAGTCATATATATATACACATACATACATACATACAGGCTGGGCAAAGTCCAATGATTCCCACATTCCAAGCTCTGCTCGGCGAATGACTTCGGCGAGCTACCTGAACGCAAAAAAAAGGAAAAGGCGGGCCGAGGCAGCTGCCGCGCGAACTTCGAAAGACCGAGAGGCGACCCCCCGCTTCACCCCCTGGCCAAACAAATCTACCGTCAACGCGCATATGTTTGGTCTGGTGGGGGCGACCAGGCCACGCGCAGACTGGGCAAAACCCTTTTTTCCGCATCCCTCGTTTTGTTCGGCCATGATTTTTTCTGGAGCTGGCCGAGCGCCAAGAGCCCGGGCCACCGCCGTCGCGGCCCCTCAACGCCCCTCCACGCGCGCCACTCCCCGGCGATTTCCCGCGCCAGCGAGGCGCGCCACCGCCCATGATGGGAGCGCTCTGCCGCCTCCCAGGTCGGGGGGCCGCTAAAGTGGAAGGGCGGGGGGCGGCGCGAGAGGGGGGCCGAGGCCGATCGGGGCGCGGCCTAGGATGGTGGGGGGCCGGCGCAAGGCATCTCAGATCGCGCGCGCTTAGGTTCCCACTCTGGCATCTGGCCGCCGCGACCCAGGCGCAAGCGCATGTCAAACAATGCTTCTCAAACAATGATTCGGAGATTTCAATATCGTCGACAGCGCTGCCGCGCTCGGCCGGGACAGGCAGGGCAGCCATCGGGCGTCTCGCGCAAACGAGACCAACACTTAATCGTGTCAAATCGGCATCGCCATCTTGGGTATAGACGCGCGCTGCGCGGCGGGTCGACCACCCGCCTCTCGTCGCGATTTCAGAAAGAGAGAGAGAGAGAGAGAGAGAGAGAGAGAGAGAGAGAGAGAGAGAGAGAGAGAGAGAGAGAGAGA